TAATATACTATAATATAATATACTATATTAGCTAATAAAAATAGTTATTTTATTTTTTTCTTTATAACAAAAAAAAAGAAAATATTTTTCTATTATTTTGTAAAATAATTAAAATAGCTAAATAAAAACAATTAAAAATAATTATTATAAATAAAAACAATTAAAAATAGCTAAAAAGATATAGCCATACTTTTTTGTGAGATTGGTAAAAAAAATATAATATAGGTATTTTTTGATATTTTATAGAATCTTAATAATTAATTTATGTATTTTAAGATAAAAAAATTTGAATATCGCTTCTTACGAATGCCGCTACAATATTCAATATGGATGTAAACTATTAATTACATTTAAAATTATAATAATGTTGATAAAATTTTGAATAAAAATAATAATCAAATAATTACTCTTTTTGATAATCATAAACTTTTAGACAAATTAATTAAATCAAATTAATTAATTTTATGTACATTGAGGATAAAAATAGAATATTCAATTTAAATAAAACTATTTATCTAAAAAATTTTTTTTTATTTTATTTTTATTATTTATTTTTTAAAATGTTTTGTTATGATAATAAAAATTAAAAAATATTTCTTTATATTTCTTTTCCTTGCTATGATATATGTTATGATTTATCTTGTTATGATAATTATTTAAAACTATATATACGCATTGTATAGATATAAAATTAATAAAACAATATTATTATTATTGTTTTTGCACTAATTAATAAAAATTTTAGAAATGATTCTGATAAGAAAATTTATTAAATTAAGAATAATAATAATTAAGAATGAAAATTAAAAATAAAAAATTAGTCTTACCTATTTGGTAATCCCAAGGGAGGTGCCGCACTTAACGATAATAGAATTTGTCCTATGGCATAGACAATACTTAAATAGAATATCGTGCGAAATTTTCCCAGTAAAGAATCTGCCAACATCGCACCAAATAGAGGGAAAAAATATACCATCATCGAGAAAACATGATATATTACGGTAGATGTATTAGAACTGTACATCAGTTGATTCTTTAGATAAAGCGTCAATATGGCTAAATAAACAAATTATTAATAATATTAAATGGTATTTGAAAATGAGTATTACAAATTGTTATCAAATAAAAATTATATAAATTAAAGATACATAAAGAATATAAATATCAAGGATTTTATTATTCTGAAATTTTACTCATAAAAATAAAAAAAAGAAAAAATAATGAGAAAAACGAATATTGAGTTTTTTTACGTACTACGCATTCCATAATAAGAGAATCTCTCGCAGAATTCATTGCTAACGATGAAAAATATTGATTTGGGATACTTCATCTTCTGAAAAATGATAGAAATAAAGTAATAGTGATATACTGTATAATCTGTTTTATAAAGTTTCGAGTTTGTTTGTATGAATTTATATTGTAATAAAATCAAGAGAATGCTAGTATATTTTATATGATTCGATTAACTTCGTTATTACTATCTACATTAATTAAGAAGAATTCATTTTTCTTTATTGTAAAATAAATCATACACAATTTTTAATTATTTACATCGCTATTTGAAATACAATTAAAATTAAATATATAATAATATAAAATAATATAAAATAATAATATATAAAATAAATTAAAAAATTATTCTTATTTGAAATAATAATTAATTAATTACATTAATTTGTAGTTTTAATAATAAATACAATAATAAAAAATTAATTTCTCATTATTAATTTCTCATTATTAATTTGTTTATTATTTTGTCAAACAATTTTTCGTATAATTATATAATTAATATACGAAATAATAATATATATAAAAATAATTAATAATATAATATATAATATACAATTGAATAAAATTGAGGAAAATGAAACTAAAATATAAATTATATTTATAAGAAAATATAATATTTGAAAATATTTAAATTTTATAATTAGAATTAATAAGATATTTATTTTAATTGAAACACAAAAAGCATCGGAGGAATTATGCTCTATTTTTTATTTTTTATTTCTTAGTCAATAAAATTATTTTTTATATATCCTTTATATTTATTCAAAAAAAAAAAAAATTGTAACATAAAAATTTTCCCATTCTGAAACTATTCAATTCTATCTAGTAAATTTTTTGCTATTAATAATAATAAAATGAGATGATAATATTTGATGATATTATCTGAACCATTCTTTATAAGAAAGAAATGACATATTTAAATAGCACATTTTTGTAGGATAAAAGAAAGCTATATAAATAATTATTCTAGTTTTAATTTTTATCATTAGAAAGATTAATTATTCCACTATAATAATGATGCCATGATATTAATAGTTAATTAATAGTTAAATAAGTTTTATTTTATATTTATCTACTTTAATTTTTAATTCTTAAAAAGATGCATTTCTCTCATTCATAAATTGATTATATTGAATAAGACATGAGTGTAATAAAACAAGATAATGATATTAATTTTTTAATTATTATTTTTTTTAGATATTACAATTATAATATTTTTTTTTAAATTACATAAATACAATTTTGCATTAAATCTTATATTTTATATTAAAATTAGTAATATTCAATTTCCAGGATTATTCAATAATAATGCAAGAAAGAAAAAGTCTGCTACATTATATAATCATCATGTGATCGTTCGATAAATGGAATATTCCGTTCATTTTTCTATTTCTTTTTTATAAATGTGACAAATATGACGTTAAAAATTTAAGTCGTTCAATTACTATTTAAAGATATTATACTTAATATTTTATATTATTATTTTGATTAATTAAGAAATAAATAGAAAATGTAAGAAATAAATAAGATAACAATTTTTCACAAACTTTTTTCAAAAAATAGAAGAATTTTATTTTGAAATATGAAAAACAATTATTTGTTATCATTATAGAGTGATAATATATTTATGGAACATCTTTTTTAAATGATCGAATCTAGAAACCAAAATAAATATTATATAAAAATTGATATATAAAAAATATTGATTAAGATTTATTAAGATTTTTATGATGCTTAAAATGATTAAGATTTATAAGTTATTAAGCAATTGAAGTTTGTATTATGTATTTTATATACAGACGAAATGGGATGGAAATAGAGCAAATTTTATCACATAATCTCTCACTTCATCTAATACAAATAATAAATTACTTATAAATTAATAAATAAGTATTTTCTATTAAATATAAGTAGTTTCAATCAATATTTTTGTAATATACTGCATATAAATTGATAATAATTTTTAAAAATATGATTGAAGATGTCATAAAAATATATAATAATAAAATTCATTAGATTTAAGATGATTAGAATATCTCATTTAATATATCTCACTCATGCTATTTCTAGTACATAATGATAATTGCACTGTAATAATGTTAAAATTAAAAATTGTTTATTTGAAGTATTTTTTCTTTATATTTCTTTGAATACTTATCTATTCATAATATTATTTGTATAAAATGAAATTAGAATATACATTTGAAATATTTTTTTTTTTCTAAAAAATATCATTAAAATATATCATAATATCATAAAAAATATCATTTTTATTTTTAAAAAAGTCATTCGAAAAATCTTAAATCATTCGAAAATATGTATTTTTTATTTATATATTTAAAAAATCTATTTTTTTTACCCTAAGTTTAATAATACAGTTTTAATAATTAATATAATTTTAATTTATAATTGTTTATTTATTATTATTTTGTTACAAAAAATTTTTTATGAAAATTTTATGAAAAATTTTTTCATAAAATTGAAAACACACGGATATATTTTTTTTATCTATTTCTTTTTTGCTTATTCAAACTTATCTTACTCAAATAATTAGGAATGAGATAAGTTAACAATATTCTTTAAATAAACTATGAATTGAAATTAGCCGTATAATGATTCGTTTATAAATTTTTAATTTTTTTGCTATTTCTGTAGAAATTATGATGACATAAAAACATGATAAAAATGGTAAACATTAAAATTGAGGAGATCCTTATAAATATCAACAATAATGATTCAGTGAATTTAATTTTTATTATTTACAAAAAAATAAAATAAAAGAAAAATTTTACTATTAAAATTTTACTAAATTTTATTATTTAAATGATTATTTATTACGAAAATATTGATAAAACTGAAAAATGGAAAAAACCGAAAAATGAAAAAAACTGAAAAATGAAAATATTAATATATAATAAAATAAAATTATTTAGAAAAAAATTTCTCAATATTATCTTTGATATTGTATTAAGATCATGTCATAATATAATCAATGAATTATGATACATTTTGTAAACTTTCAAAAAATATATATACATATATAGAAAAAGAAAGTGTTAATATATTTATGAAATTTTTAAATTAATTAAAATAAATATAAAAATTGATATATAAAACATTTGTTTGAGTTATTTATTAAATTACAAGCAATTTAAATTTATAATAGATAAAACGAAATGAAGATAATACCAAATGTGACGAAATAGAACCGTCACTCTATTTCTGTCATATTTGTCTAAAACAGATTTTATTTATTACAATTATAACAATTATTAATTGTTATAGTATATAATTTAATAAATAAGTTTCAATCGAGATATCAGTTTTTCCTTATTTTGATTTAAAAATTGATCCACCAAAAATATTTCGAAAATTAAGTTTAAATTTTTTTTTATTGTATTTCTATTTATCATAAAATTAAAAAATTTCAAAAAAATTATGAATCACAACTCAACTTTTTTTCCTAAAAAAGGAAAAAATATTAAAATTCTATTTAATTTTCGAATTTATTTTATTTATAATCTATTTACATTCTTTCGTTAGAAAAATAATATTTATTGTGGATACATCCCATAAATTTATCATTCTACCATTATATATATCCATTTCTTTATATCTTTTCTTTTTTTCTTTTTTCTTTTTTTTTTTTACTATTTAAACAAGACCGAACTCGCATTTCTAAAACATTGAAACATATTGTAATATATGTATCAATTCAACTAATGAATTTAACTCAATGGTTGACAAAATTAAAAATAATAGAATAATATTTTAAATTTTAGTGATTTAAATTTATTGCTTGACTTGATGCATACATGTGTTTCAATATGTATAAAGATTTTTAAAAATAGAGTTCAGTGTTGCTTAAATATTGAGCAAGAAAAAAAAATTGTAAAAAAATTTGTCGAAAATAAAGGATGATCAAGCATAGAAATAAAATAGCAAAAATATCTATGAAATGAATTTATTAAATTCACGGAAATATTCCATTCACAATTAATGATTTCAGATCTCTTTTCGAATGTATCTAATTTTCGCTCTGTTGTGAATGAGAAGAGAGAAGAGAAAGAGTATTACTATTATGGTCTGCTAGTATTATGTGTAGAACAGACTTTTTCTAATATTAATTAGCATTGTTTCAGCTTTACAATATGGAATATATATAATGATAAATCTGAAATATATTTTTCTATTTTTCTTCTTATTGACTGAAAAATATAAACGAATTAATGAATCAAACAAATTCGAACAACTAAAATTATATAAAATATTATATTATTACATATAAATATTATATTATTATTAAATAAAATAAATTCAAAAAAACTAATGGAAATTTAATATTTTTTTTCAAGTCAGCTAATAATAATTAACTTGTGATTATGATTTCTTTGAGATTTTTTATCTTTCTAATGAATAGAATACTAGAAAATAAAAAGGAAATTTAATCTTGAATTTTGAGGTCAAAATCATTTATGTACACATTTTTTTATTTTGAAATCTTCAGATCCAGAAATGCTACTAGAATTACGCTATAAATATATAAATATAGAATACGCATATTCTTTAACTTACTTTTCTCTAACTTACTTTTTATATACTCTGTACGTATGTATATTTAATAATTATATATAATAATAATTAATAAAAAAACAAAAATAGAGTATTAATTTAAAATCTATTTTGTAAAATTCAAATTGAAATGAATATTTTCTATGAAAAAGAAAAAGAGAAAATGTATATTGTTTTGTTTTAATTTTTCATAAAAAAAAAAAATTTTAATATTGAATATAATATTGATAATAATAAAATATTGTTTTCAATTAAAAAACAATATACATTTTTTTTTGTTTTTATGAAAAATGAATATATATTTTTTAGAAATATGATATTAAGAAAGAAAAAAAGTGAAATAAACATAATTAGGATAAAGATAGTAAGAAAGAAAATCCATATGATTGATCCATATGATTGATGAAAATTCTTTCACTCACAAATTTAAAGAGGAACCAAATTATTACTGATTAATATTAACTTGTCATTATTTATTGCATTATATGTTATCGAGATAAAATAAGGAGAAATCGAAAAATATTTCTACCTTCGTATCTGTCGTTTCCACAATCATTGTGATCGTTGATTATTTGACACAAATCGTATTAATTACTTCAAAATTTATATAAAATGTATTTAAAAAAGTTTCACATATGAAAAATATATACTATTGAAAAATATATTGGATTAATTGCATTAAAAATAAAAATATTTATATTCCACATAAAATATATTTCATAAAAGAAAAAGAGAAATTAGAAACACACATCACAATGTTTAAACTATATTTCGTAATATTTAATTTTATATTAATATTTTAATTATATTATAATATGTATTATAATATTTTAATATATTAATTAATATTTTATAATAATAATTTAAAATATATTTATATTTTAATCGTAAAATTTAGATCGTATTATTTAAATCTATTCGAAAAAGAATAATGTTCGTCGCCGTTGATAGTTGAAACTGTACTGTTGATTTTGTTGCGTATCTACAATATGTAAGTATCACGATTAAGTCTGACGATGGCATTGAAGAACATTGCTAGGTAGTTGTACGACTCGCGTAATAGTTGGTACAATGTGAAAGTCCTCCCCCCTCCCTTTTAATACGAACAGCATGTTAGCTACATATAAACTAAATTGTATTCAGATAGCGTTTATAAAGAAATAATATAAACGAAAAATTTTTATAAAACAAATATCAGAAAAATTTGAAATAATTTGAAAGAGATATTAAAACATTGAAATATTTCTATAGCCGATTATTAAAAAATAATTATTAAAATATTTGAAATAAGAAATAAAAATATTTGCATAGAAATATTTTTTTATTTATTAGACATTAATTTTTATTTAAATAAAATTTATTAAATTTATTTCAAATATTAAAAACTAAATAAAAACTAAAAAATTAAATATTTAATTGACTTTACTAAATATATGCATAATAACTAAAAAATTAAATATTTAATTGACTTTACTAAATATATGCATAATAACTATTTCAATTATATACTTTTTAATATAAATTTATATTATATTATTATATAATTATAATTATAATATAATATAAATTTGGAATAATTAATTGAAATAAATGTTTTCTTTTTTTTTTACGTGCAATATAATTATAAATAATTATGTAAATATTATCTTAATAAAATTTTATTTATTTTACAATTGCGATCATATTCTAAAATTTATCATAGTAACGGATTAATATTTATTTAATGTTTATTCATCAAAATTTAAATCAATTAAAAAATATAAAAAGTTTATTTTTCAAATAAATATATTGTTTTTTTATTTTTGATTTAATATTCTTTGTTAAATAATAGTTACAAAAATAATATTTATAAATTTTATTTATAAAATGTAACAATTTATTTCAATAATTATAATAATATATAACTATGTTATATTTAATTATATAAATAATAATATAATAATTATGTAAACAATAATAATAATTATATTTCAATATATATTTTTTATTTAAAATATATCCAACACTGTTTGTGATGAGATAATATAAAAAAAATTTATTTTTTTAAAATTATATAAATTTTAATGTTTAACATTAAATAGACAGGAATTTAAATAGAGATTTATTTAAGTATTATAATAACTATTGTATTTTAAATATTTTGTGTCTTTTTCTATAACATGTGTTTTCTATAATATAATAATGTAAATTTTTTTACATTAAAATTTTTTAGAAATACATAAGTATTTGTAATCTAGTTAATATTTAATCTATTTAATATTATTTATAAATATTATTTTATTTTATAATTTATTTTATAATTTCTTATTAATAATATTTTTATATTTTTTAATGATACCTATTATTTTATATTTTATTATATTTTATTACATTTTAAATCATGGACAAATATAATAGTATTTCCATAAGTGCCAAGAGTTCTGTAATAGTTTCTGTTAATTATAAAAACACAATTTTCAATCAATGATTACGCTTGGATTTTGTATTTCGAGAAAATTTTGATATATTCATTTTCAAGAAAAAATATTTAATTAAATAAAAAAAAATAATAAAAAAAATAATAAAGAATCATAGAAAAAAAAGAATAAACGGAATATAAATTTACAATATTAATTTACAATTTAAAATCATTTTGATTATCGTGTTTGGTCTCATTTTCCTCAGCAAATTATGAATATTGTGAATATATTTCTAAAAAAAAAAATAAATAAATAAAAATTATTTTTATTATATTTTATTTTAAGAATTTATTTTTTTTGTAAATTAATTATGTTTAAATTATATTAATAAAAAGGAATTATATGATTGATAATCGTTATTATATTATTAAGTAATGATAATGAACCGTTAGTTACAAAAATCATATAACTGCTACATTATTATATAGAATAGAATTAAATATAGAATCATAACTTAAGACATTATTGTACTTTATTTTTTATTTTCGTTGTAAATAAAATATTATCTTTCTGTTTGATTGAAACGAAATAATAAAAAATCGAAGATTATTATTTTTAAATTTTTTAGATATCGGAGAATAGATTGAATTTTATTATATTACATATATAATAATGTAACTTTAAAATATTGTCTAAAACATTGTACTGTTATAATATTAAAATATAAAATCGTAAATAGTTTATTATTATATAATATTATTATTATTAATATTTGTTTTTTTATATTTTAATGAATATTTATTTAACTGATCTTAAAATATACATTTGAAATATCCTTACTATTTTCCTTAATTTTGAAGCAAACTTACTTTCAATATTTTTTATATTAAAAAAATGAAAATATTTATTATAATTTTCTATTTCAAAAATCTTCCTTGATAAATTCATATTTAAAATATCCTTTTGCATAATTTACAATTAATAATATCAGTGATTTAATAAATTACAAATTATAAATTGCAAAATTCCTTTTCATCATTGATTTTATATTGATTATAATAATCAGATGACTTATAATTTTTAAAAACATTTTTGAAATTAAATTTATAAATATAATCAAAATTAATTTGCGGTTTAATTTAAATAAAATTTCATTAATAATAATTTAATTATGAAAAAAGATCTAATTATTAAAACATAACAACATAAAACATAACATTTTTTTATAAAAAATTATTTAATTATACAAATTTAATTGATTTCATTCTATTATATTTCTTTTTTTTTTAATATAAACATTTTTATTCTATTATTTAAAATTTTATTATTTTTCTTTAGAATATTTAAAAAAATTTCACTATTATATTGCATTAGATTTTAGGTTTTACTCTTATAAATTTACAATGCATTTACTGTTAAAGTTGATTTTTTAAAAGATTAATAATAATTAATATTTAATATCATTGATCAATGAAAAATTTCTTTCGACATTTATATTTGTTTCAGGAAGATTTATTAAAGATTTGACAATCTTTTTCTTTATATTTTTTAAATGAATTAATTAATTGACTTTCCTATGAATTATTTCATTTACTTTTATTATTAAAAATAACCAATTAGTTATTTTTAAACATGAAAAAGGAAATGCATATTAAAATATTTATTATGTTCGAATTAAATATTACATAATTGCTTTAATATTTTTACAGTTCAATCATTAAAAAAAAAAAAATATAAAGTATAGAATAAAATATACAATTTTAAATATTATAATATCGATACAAAAATTTAATAGGAAAATTATTGAAAAATAAATATAATATTGCAAAAATATATATATAATAGAGAATATTTTTAATGTGTGAATTTTTTCAAAATTTTATAATATTTTTCAATATTTTGCATAAATAAATAAATATTATAAACATCTCGCAAATATCAATTGAACAAAATAGAAACAAAAAAAATTTTCATAATTTAATAATATTTATTTTTATCATAGTACTATAAATAATAAATATTGTAACATAGCTGAAAAATAAAAGAAATTATTATATATTATATTATATATTATATTTCGATAAAATACTATTAATTGATAAATTATATTGTTATATTATTTCCTTTATGCTAAAGATATAAAGTACTATTTAATAATTTATAGAAATTTATATTTTATAAAATATAATAAAATATTAATTGAATGCAATATTTTGAAATATATTTTTTGAAATGTTATTTTATTTATTTTAGTTTAAACTTCAATTTCATTGTGAAACATCATTATAATCTAACATTTTATCATTGTAATCTAAGATAATATCTATGAAATCTTCTTAGTTAAAGTAAGAATTTATAGATTTATATTTCCAACGTAAATACGATGTAACATTTAAAAGATTTAGGAAAATGATGAATTTTAAAATAAATAAGTAACATTGAAATTCAATTCGTGTTTTTTTTTTTAAATATATTTAAAATGTTCCATTTCATATATATGACTAGAGATTTCTTATGGAAAAATAAAATGAAAAAAAAAAAAATAAAATTTTTTCATTTGAGACTTTATTTTTAAATAAATCAATTTTGAAAATTTTTCAAGTACAAGTGAAATTAAATTCTTAATTCCTAATTAAATATGAATTATGTATAAAAGATTAAAATTTGTGAAATTTTATATTTCTTAAATGATTATATTTAATTATTAAATGATTATATTTTTAATTTAAAAATTTTTTAAAATTATTTAAAATTAAAATTAAAAAAAATTTTTTAAAATTATTTAAAATTAAATTGTATTTTATCAAAATTTAAAAAAATTTAATTAATTATAAATTCTGGGTTAAAAATTTGAATTGAATATTTATTTTGAATATTGAGTATATTCATAGAAAATTTTTTTAAAGTGTTGATTATCAAAATAAATACGAAAGTTAGTATGCAAAAATTTTAGTTGAATTTTATTTAATAAGTTATGAGCAATTTAATTTTATACTAAAAAAATGCCTGTACATTGATAAACCGTACTGCGCAAAATATAATATTGTAGTGGCGTTAGTATAGCAATGGCTTTTCAAAAAAAAATTTTCAGATGGCAATATATATGTGCTATATATATTGCTAAATATACGTGCTATATTTGAAGTATTTCAAATATATATATATAGTGAATTATAGAATACAGTGAATATATTGTTTTTATAACATATATTGTTTATATATATTGTTTATATTAACACGCGAAGAATTGTATATTGTTATGAAAGAGGAAACTTATGTAATGATTTTTCTTATAATAAAGTTGCAGTATATTTGCATAATTTATGGTTATATAATTTATGGTTATATAATTACTATTGTATTTTGACAA